GGGGGGGGTTGATTCGACTACAGCAGAGGAACATATTATGATATCCAACCCAATTTTCTAATTAAGCAAAATAGCAGATTCATTAGTCTCCTAACCATAAAGGAGTTTACTCAAAATAGCAGTGAACAGATAAATTCATTCCAGTAAACTACAGGCATCTCTACCTTCACAAGGTAGGGGTATGGATTGCATACAAACTACCCTACCCAGGCCCCACTTGTGGAAATATACTGGGTATGTTATTGTTGTTGTAAACTACAAGATGGTCTAGCCCCCTCTGTTTTGCCAACGGTCATGTCTAGAAAGCATGTTCGGTTTGTACTTTGTAGGCACATTCCATGAGACAAATTCAAACTTAGATACAGTATAGTGCTAGGAACTCTAGCTTATAATTCACAGCTGAAGGTACCACCTGTAGCAGCAATGCTGGAATTGACATATAACAATTAAACAAATTCTAGTGGACACCGTGCACCAACTGCAAGCAGTAATTAGCAGAATAAATATATATTGGATAACACTTTTCATGGTTGCTCTAATAAGGAATCACTATGCCATGAGATGTTTAGAGATTATTGAAATCTAAATGGGTTTAACAAAGACCTTTGTTGAATACACCCTCTCATGAGATTCATCGAGAATCAAATTTGTAGCCTGGTCAAATCCTCTCAAAACTCCCTGGACAAAGAACCAACTGGTCAGCAAAATAACAGTCTTCTCTCTAAGATTTACAAAAACAGGGAAATGAATACAACTCACCACTATATTTCGCCCATCGTTTGTAATAACTGAGATGGTTTCTGGAACACCAAAAGAAAGAAAACAAAGAGTGTTATTCTATTAAAATACGGGCTAATTTCTGGACAAAAATATGTGTTAATTTCGTAAAGAAAACAAATAGAAGTAATAAGAGAATACATACGATCGACAAGAGACTCAAGCCCAGGTCCACTAGCCATGTTGCCAAATCAGAAGCAATTTACTTGTCAGATCTTACAGTAGACTGATGCTTAAACCTACAAAAGTCACAAAGCAAAAAACGCTAATGATAAGAAGGTGGCCATCGAAGTGCTGTGTACCAAATAATTAGCAGTCTAAGAAACTTGGGGCTAGGCATTTAGGACTCGTTTGGCCATAGATTTTGCCAAAATAAATTTGGATTTTATTTGGCAAACACATGTTTGGCCATAAATTTTGCCTATATTTTGGCAAAATTCCAAATCCCAATATTTACACACACTAATAATATACATTTTTTCCAGAATAAATTTGGAAAATATGTTTTGAAAACGCATGCCCAAACACATTTTCATCTTCAAACCAAACTTCAGCCAAATCAGATTTTTCGAAACAAATTTGGGAATCTATGGCCAATCGCTAGCTTAGCCAGTCGGCTGGCATGATATGACTCACTGAACAAATCAATCAAAGAGGCATGTAAGCTCACTTTTTGTGTATCATAGAATATTAACCTTCATTCTCATGACAAAATGCACCCAAAAACAAACAAAAGTTCCCAAACTCTTTTGTATCATCAGATATCTCAATCTCCTTTGCTTCTCTTTTTGCTAATTATCATTTCAATTTAGATAGTTTTTTCCCCAGCTTCAATTAGACAATAACCCAACACTTTAAAATGAAAGATGAAGGCTAAACTGCACTCTGTAAAAGCCATATCTAAACCCTGCTGAGATACAAATCAAGAATGCATGTTACAAACTACTATTCTTTTGTGATTTCAACTGTCATTANATAAAAGAAAATAGAAACATACAATTCGATTCGCGGAAAACGTCGAGAAGTTCGCTGCAGAGAAGACGACAGAGGAGCACAAGTTTAGTGTTTAGGGCATATATAGCAGAAATGGTGGGCAAGGTAGTAGCGGGTCGAATTTGGATCGATCTGATTCTAGTTTATCCAGCCCACTAAAATGAATATGGGCCTGGGCTAAAATCTTTCGATTTAAATTGGGCCAAGTGCATCATAGCCACTTTTGGGGCTGCTATTTAAACCTAAGTCACTATTTAATAACTACTCCCTCCGGTCCAAAATAAGTTATTTTTTGGCCTTTTTTTGTGGTCCAAAATAAGTGATTTTTTTAGATTTCAATAATGAATTAATTATTTTTTTCTTACATTGCTCTTGAAGTAAATAGTGTTGGAGTATGTGTTAATATGGTCGATTTCATTGCTAATTAATGTTAAAAGGTAGATTTCTTAATACGTGTGAAAATAACTAAAAAATTACGTATTTTGGACCGGACGGAGTATTTAAATTTAAACCACTTTCATTACTACCAACCGGTGGAAAAACAGAAGAAAAATTTGAAATTGCTTGAGTAATGAATGAATTTAATAAATTGAGTTCTTTTTGTCGATGAGGTGATTTGTTTATCCATCTGCGCTTGATTAATCTACTTAGGCGAAGGGGCGTATATGTCACCTTAGGGTTTAGGCGAATCACACATCAAAATGAGACAGAAAAGTAAAAAGCTTTAGAAAGGATGAATAAGTTCACATGATATGCATACTTTTGGGGCTCGATGTAGCGTAACTCGAAAGACAAATAGTGCGGGCCTAGGTCCAAAGCNAACCTTTTTGTTTTGTCTAACTTTCTAACTCTTTATTTTCTCTGAATTATTATATAGATACCCATGTATATCTTGCCCTTAACCCAATAGAGAAAATTGCTTAATGAAATTCTGTATGACTGGTTGTCAATTTTGAGCGATGCAAAATAGGTTCTTTTCTTTCTATTTTGTCTTCAAAATCCATTTTTTGTTTTAGATTTCTGAAATAAAATAAATAGGAAATAGCTGATTAAACAATGAAAACAAAAAATTTGGGAACTCTATTCCTTAATTGAGTTACGTGCCATGGGCTTGAATCTTGACAAATATGGTATAAGATTGAATCTCCTTCAATATGATGGTGGGGCAAACCCTAAAAACTTAGAGGCGCCCTATTTGGTTGCCCCCATTTAACATGTACCTACTTTTTTATTTTTTAAAACTTATACCCACTGTTTAAACAAATCTTTCTTCTTCCTCCTCCTCCTCCTCCTCCTCTTCTTCTTCTTCTTCTTCTTCGAGTAATAGTGATTTTATATAGTGTTTGTGAATATATTTTAAGGTAGTTTATGATGTTTTACAGTAGTGAGCTGTTGTTGTGCTTTTTTTTTTCTATTGCTTAGGGGTTTTTTCTCTCTTAATTGTAAAATGTGTTTGTTAGATTTATTATTGTTTTGACGTATTGATGATTGGGGTTTGTTCTTGATGATATTTGGATGTTATATTTCGAATTTGAGCTTATTTGGAATAGATTTAGGTACTAAATCGTATATTGGATTGTTAAAATTCGAAGAACCAATTTCTGTTTCTGGGCAATTTGCACTTCAGGCCTATTTGGCCTTAAGTGCATGAAAACGTTGGTTGCACTTCAAACCTTTTGGACTTAAGTCATCTGAAGTGCAATTTTTCGCTTCAGACTTATTGGCCTTAAGTGTAGGGAAACATGTGTGGCACTTCAGACTTTTTGGCCTTAAGTGCATCTGAAGTGTAATTTTTCACTTCAGACTTACTGGTCTTAAATGCAAAACTATTGGTTTCACTTCAAATTTATTTGATCTTAAGTGCATCGGAACTAGACTAATTTATTTTTAAATTCAGGCCCGATAAGTCTGAAGTTGATTGTAGAGTGGATAGGCTTGTAAAGTTTTTTTGTAAAGTGGATATAAGTTCAATTGTGACTCTAAAACTAGATATAGATACAAAAGTTCAGCGCTCAAAACGAATAATATGTGCCATGAGTTTGGGTTATGACAAATTTGAAAAGTTTTAACTTTCAAATAATGAGTTAATTTGATTTTATGATCGATGTTGAGCGAGTTCATAATGACTACACCGTCGAATCTTGATTTGGTGAATTGAAGTTAGGCTTAGGTGTAATAGGGCTTCTATTTTTTATTTTTTTTTAGTTTCCCACCCAATGTCACTTACCTGTATTGGAGCCTGATTATATTCGAATTCGCGCCGCGTAGAGCCCCATTTGGGGGGAGTGCTCCCTACCAAGGATTTTTCTATACTCAAGGCTTGAACCCGAGACCTCTGATTAAGGAAAAAACAGTCTCATCCACTGCACCATATCCTTTGGTGGTATATGACTTCTAGTTATTGCACTCTAATTGTATATTGCGATGCTCTTTTTGTGGACAATTGATTTCTCTATCTCCGGTAGGGCTGTTCACGGTTTGACGGAAAATAGATCCAAACCGAAAACCAAACCAAACCAATTAAGTAAACCGATATTTTTTTTTATTTGGATTGGTTTTGGTTTTAAATTTTAAAAACCGATAATATTTGGTTTGGTTTTGGTTCTATTATAAAAAAATCAAAAAATAAACCGAACCAAACCGATTAATTATATACAAAATTTAATAATTATTCATATACAATATAATATCTTTTTCTAAATAATTTTAAATATTTTATGCAATTTAATTGTTATTTTGAATTTTGATTTATCCTACTTATATCTTAAAAGATTGCCTAAGCCCAAAACAATAGGAATCATGCAATTTTCTTTTCCTTAAGAGACTTTAATTCTCTAACTCTCCGCACATACTTTTGTCTAACAGAAGAGTTAAAAAAAATTCTACCATAAGAGTAAAGAAAGCAAACTCAAATTGCAGGACTACAGTGGCTAAAGCTTGAGAAAGCAAACTTTTAGTTCGTTTTTTTGTTCATTCTTTTCATATAAAGTGGTAAATAAACTTTCAGTTCCGAGAGAAATATATAAAAAAAGCATAAATTTAGCAAATTATTTTCAAATTATTATATAGTGTTGTTTCACTATTATCGACTTATTATTAGCTTACTAAGAACCGAAAAATATAATGACTCTAAATATAATTTTAAAATACCAGGTCCAAATTATTAGTACTCTAAATATAATTTTAGTACTAAAATTATATTCTTCTTAGAGTATATAATAATAACTTTCGTACTAAATAAAGTTGTTTTCTATATAAATAAAATATATTGATAAACTTATTATAGAGTACAATCCTGTATCTATATTGATTTAAATTTTTCTAGATTACACTCAAACTTTGAGCAAATTTTTCTATATTGTAGCCTGAAATATTGATTGGCATAAATTCTCGGTAATTCTGAGTGAGTTTCTAATATATCTAGCAAATTTAAACTATGTCTTGTTTTATGATTCAAAATTATTTCCCATTCTCTCTCTCTTTTTTGTATCACTCCTTCCTTTTCACTCTTAGCACTTACTTCTTTAACCTCACCCTATACGTACATATATCTATATCTATACTATATTAAAAGCACGAAGACGTTTAGCGAAATGTTGATTGAACTTTTTACCCTTCATTAAAAAAAACTACAATAGACAAAATTGTCATTTACTATTTTCCTTCAAATTATTATTTAATTATTTTTATAGTATTTCACTTAATAATTACGCATAGATTTATTAAAAGAAAGTCTTTATTCTCTTTGGTTTCTTTCCAAATATGGAGACTTGAAGAAGTCACTATAGAAGCATATCTCCAAGTAAATTTGGAGAATTGGCGAACTGAAAACATATACGTAGGTGCCTACATAGTTCTAGGAAAACTTATGATAGTCCAATTTGTTTGATATTTTGTTTTGATTTGATTTAGGTTTAGCTTTTTATTTTTGCTTTATTCTTTGTAGTATATTTTCATGAATTAATATCCAACAATATTTGACTTTCAATTTAGAATTCCGCATAAAATCTACGCTAAAGTTCTTGCTTATGTTCTCCTTACTTTTATGATGTGGTTTCTCTTTATTTGAACTATAAAACCCTAATATTTTAAGATTATTAATTCCATCGAGACAAAAATGTTGTGCAATAGAATGAGTTTTATGAACTTCTAATGAACTCCAGTTCCTTCTTTATATGACGAGGTAATATGAGAATCTAATTTCTTTGTATAAAGGAGAAGAAGGAGATGTTCATCTCCATGACAACTCATTATAATTTTTTACATAGTAATTGTCAAGTTCATTAATCAAATTCGTGGCGACTTCCATAGATTATTCAACATACTAAAATTATCTTAAGTCGATGCTTCTTTCGTTATTTGTAATATATGTTTGTAAGCGTATGTGTTCCTTTACATATTTTTGAGTTTGCAACTACATTTAAACTGCAGAAAATTTATAGATTGTGAAACATAAATGGCTGAACTCTAAATAATTATGAACTTAACGTAATATGTACTAATTTGCAACTCAGAATTGTTATATTTAATTTACAGATAGGGTCCTGAAATAATTTGCTTGACGTCAATTACTATTTTTTTCAATAATTTATGTATGTGCGCTAAAGCTAGACAACATTGTCATTTACTATTTTTCTCAAATTATTAATTTAATATTTTACCTAAAATACACTACTATTTAGGAAGAAATTTTAGGTAACTGTACATCATTAATACTCTGAAATATCTATCTATAGAGAATAGGAGAAGCAAAAGCACAACATTAAGACAAGTGTCTTAACCACAAAAAGCCAAGTGGTATTGTTAAGACAAAATAAACTACTATTCTAATTATTTTTTTTTTAAATTTTAAATTTTGAATTAATTGGTTACACTATTTGAATTAATAAATAAAGATAGCTTATACTTATCAATAAAAAAAACGAAAACACAAAAAATGTTCTACTCAATCAAATTGGAGTTT